AAAGAATGTGTTGTCTGGCTGGTGCCCAGGTTCAGGATATCTCATCTGGGCTGCAGAGGAACTTGGATAGAGGGAAAAGATCCTGTTGGTCCACTTAGGTATCAATGATATAGACACAAAGAGGAAAGAAGTGCTGCTGAGGGAATATGAGCAGCTAGAGGCTAAATTAAAATGCAGAACCAAAAAGGTAATAATCTCTGTATTACCACCTGAGCCATGAGCAAATTGGAACAAGGTCACAAGATTAAAGAGGTAAACACATGGCTCAATGATTGGTATGGGAGAAATGAGTTCAAATTTATGGCACATTGGCACCAGTACTGGGGAAGGAGGGAGCTTTCTGATGGGACAGGCTCCAGCTGAATCATGCTGGTGAAATGCATAAGTAGGGCTTTGAATAGGGGTTTAACTATAACAGGGTGGGGAGTTCAGTTGTATGTTAAATTATGGCCTGTCAGCACTGCTTTGTCGAGGGCGTGTCATGCCTGAAAAATCTGCTAGAATTCTTTGAAGAGGTAATGAGTAAGTTAGACACAGGAGAGCCTGTAGATATGATCTATTTGGATTCCCAGAAGGCCTTTGACAAGGTGCCACAAAGGAGGCTGCTAAATCTTTCAGGATGGAAGGTGGTGACTAGTGGAGTTCCAGAGGGGTCTCTGTTGGAACCATAGTTATTCACATTATACATTATTGATTTGGATGAAGGAACTTCGGGCATTGTTGCTGAGTTTGCAGACAGCACAAAGATAGATGGATAGACAGGTGGTATTGTGAAAGCAGGGAGTATACAGAAAGACTTAGACAGGCTAGGAGAGTGGGCAAAGAAGTGGCAGCTGGAATACAATATGGGAAAGTGTGAAGTTATGCACTTTGGTGAGAAGAATAGAGGCATCGACTATTTTCTAAACATGAAGCGGCTTCATAAAGCTGAAGCACAAAAGGACTTAGGAGTCCTAGCTTAGGCTTCTCTCAAGGTAAACTTGCAGGCTCAGTTGGCAGTTAAGAAGGTAAATTCAATGTTTGCATACATTTCTAGAGGGCTAGAATTTAAGAGGATGGATGCACCACTGAGGCTGTATTAGGCTCTGGCCAGACCTCATTTGGAATACTGTGAGTGGTTGCGGGTCCCATATCTAAGTTAGGAAGTGCTAGCCTTGGGGATCCAGAGGGCATTTACAAAAACAATTCCTGGGGATGAAGGGCAGTACGGAGTCAGTACTCGATGGAGTTTAAAAGGATGAGGGAGGAGTTGATTGAAATTTGCAGAATATTGAAAAGCCTGGACAGAGTGAACATGGAGAAGATGTTTCCACTTGTAGGAGAGACTAAGACCCAAAGGCACAGCCTCCGAGTAAAGGAAGGGCTCTTTAAAACTGAAATGAGGAGGAATTTCTTCAGCTAGAGGGGTGTGAATCTATGGAACTCATTGGCACAGAGGACAATGGAGGCCAAGTCATTGAGTGTACTTAAGACAGAGATAGATAGGTTCTAGTTTGGTAAGGGGATCAAGGGTTATGGGGACAATGCAGGAGAATGGGGTTGAGAAACATATCAGCCATGATCGAATCACGGAGAGACTTGATGGGCAAAATGGCCTAATTCTGTTCCTATATCTTAAGGCCTTATTGACTAATGGTAATATTGTATTCCCAAATAAATAAATTGATCAAACAGGATCCTCAGCTGATTGCAACAAGGAGAATTCAAGGGGCTGGCACTCTACATTGAAAAAAAAAAATCAGACACTCACAGTCAGACAATTGATTTGTCTTATAACAATTAGTAAGTCCTCTCAGATCACACTTCGGCAAACTGCCCTATTTTCAGGAAGTGCATTGTTTAACTTCAACTTTTCAAATTACAGTCCAGCCCTACAATGGTGAAACCTGTTTTTCTCGTTATCCTATGAGAACATCCTCAGGATGGGAAGGTAGCTTTTTTGTTGAGAATATTCAAACACAATGATCCCCATGCAATAAAATCTGAATATTCCAATTTATCCAGGAACTGGGAAGGCTGAGACACACATATTGTTTGCATGAGTCTGGCTTTAGTTTCAGGGCTGCGGTGTTTTCAGTGTTGTGTAAAGTCCTTTGGAAGGTTAACTATTTGTAGGCACTTGGACAACTAACTGGAACAGTGTGGAGAAAATATGTTTGTAAATATGATAGAAATAAAGAATTTTCATTATACACTACGTCATCACACCACACATACACTGGATGCTTTAAGGTCAATTCTTGATGTTATATAGACATAAAAGCAACCATTTTGTACAAAGCTTGATCCCAATAATGGCAACAAGATGATTGGATACAATAGTGCCTCAAGTTTAGATGAATGAGGAGTGCTTTAGTCAAAAAAATATAAAATTCATCATTGGTTTGACATGTAGACCTGAATTCTTATATTAACAGATGACAGAGTTAAGAGGAACTTTCACAATCTACTATCAGGGCAAGCTGTTAAGCTGTCCAATAAAAGTATTGCCCTTTAAATATTTGAAAAAAAAGACTTTGCAAATTTAAAAAAAAAACGCATACTATTTTGTTAGAGATAGTAGGAACTGGAGAATCTGAGATAACAAGGTGTAGAGCTGGATGAACACAGCAGGCCAAGCAGCATCATAGGAGCAGGCAGGCTGACGTTTCGGGCCTAGATCTGTTGCCATAAGTCTGAAGGCCTTTGTTACTAGATTTGCACTTCAAGACTGATTTCAGAACCATCTATTATCACTGTAGGGTATTGAACATTTGGCTGTTTGATCGCCAGTTGTTATAGACACTTTGAGGCAGGATGATAAAGTCCAATGCTTGCTGCTAGTAAGGGATTATGAACTTGAATTAAATGTTTGTTGTTATAATGCACAGTGTAGTTGAAGAAACACAAATGCAGTAAATGGAATTTTAAGAATGAAACTATTATTTCAATATTTTCATGACACATCCCTGAACATGATTACCCAATTTATTACGGTTCTAGATCAGATACTCAAACTGTTAAGCTCCTGGCTGAAGAGGAAGCAAATTGACTTCTCTTGGTCATTCATCCGCTGCCTTTGTTGGTCACAACAAAGTATCTCTTCTGTTGTGGAAATCTTGCTTCCAGACCTAAATTATCTTTGTTTCAGAAAGCAACAATTTAAGTGGACCATTACTTGGATGTTTGGGATGACATTTTGATTGAACCCACACATTCCCAAGAACTTCATGATTTCACATTCTGTTGTAAGAATGGGGAACTGTGTTACTGCCTGTAAATTTGCAGCCCTGAGCAATACCCATCCTTGACCCACTGCTTGTCCTGGATAGGTCACTTGACACTTAGCAAACTCACTCCTTGCAAGGTTGACCACTAGATCAGCTGACTGTACTTTACGGAAGAGTCTTGCCATTTGGTTTGTGTGTTTCTCGAATGTTACTGAGCCTGTTACCATCAGATTCACCAGCTTTTGAAAGGTAACTGGGGTATTTTAGAGTCTGAATGTCACGACTCAACACTGGTATAACCCAGAGCTACAAAAGCAGCAATTTGCTTTGTGTGGGACGTCAGGGGAACCTGCCAGTACCCCTTGAGTAAATCCATCTTAATAATATAGGCTGCTTTACATTTATCTATGCAAACATTCCAGCTGGGATATTGGGTAGGAGTTGGGCCTGGTCACTATATTAACTTTACAGTTGTTAATGCAGAGTCTTGTGCAATCATCTGACTTGGGCATGAACTTAAGTTGGGAGTTCCAGCTACTGTTGCTTGGCTCTATTAATCGATGTTCTGACATATAGTTAATCTCATCCTGGACATGGACCAGCTTTTCTGTGCTGAAGTGATAAGGATGTTGCCTCATGGGAGTTGTCTCTCCTACATACACACCAGTTAGAACCTGAGTGACGCAGACTGGTTCGTTTATACATAAATCCTTTATACAGCAAGCAGCTTTGTTAAGTCTGCTCATTGTTCTCTACACCTAGGTGACTGAATAAGGAGTTTCAGTTTGCTAGTATTTCTGTATTGGCTAGTCAGAGGGGAGGGGTTTTAATTTTGGTCTCACTTGGTCCCATCTTGGTCCAATTCAATCCCACTGCTACCTTTGTCTGCTAGGGTTGGTGACAATGGGACAAACCATTACTTGCTAGTCCCCTTCTCAATGGGGGTACTGCATTATTACATTGACAGGACAGTGCGTTAGCTTTTTCCCTTGATCTGAGGTCTCAGTCATGAGTGTTCACTTCCCTAGGCTTCTTGCCAACTATGTTCTGTTTCTTATGTTCTTATATAAACATGAAGATATAGTAATGCCACACACATGTACAGATTAAAAATAAGAGGTAAGTCCAAAAAGATAAATGTTAAAAGAAAATGTACGGATCAGTCTATGAATTGTTCATCAAGAATGGATAGTTCATCATTGCGGCCATTGCAGTGAAGAATTGAGATTGGTCAATTTTGAGATACATGGCTTTGTAGGTGGATTGAAACTCTTGTCCATTCAACATTAACTGATTGGCAGACTGCTTTACTCACAGGGCTAGGTTGTTTAAATGGCTGCTCTCAGAGCTGTGTCTCTCATGGCCCACTAGTCAACATATTAGGACATCAGACCACTAACATACACACACAACTAGGCTGATTTTCCCTTTTTAATCATTGTCCCTATGTATTACTGATGGGGGAAAATATACAGCTATGCCTGAACTATACAGCTCAGTCTGCTGTAATTTGTGATATTCTCAGGATATTATAAATTACGTTTGTAGAGCATTTTCTCCTTTGGAAGCTTCTTTGATAGTTTATCAGGTACGACATTCCAGAGGATCTCTCAGGGCAGTCATTGAATCTACACTGCACATAAACATTTAATTGCATTTCTTTTTTATATGTGGTAATTACAGTCTGATATGCCCATAGGTGATTTGGGGTTATGATCGATGGTCATGATAATGTATGGCTTGGAAATCTGCAATCTAAAATTTACTTTATCTTATTTCCTCTCTGCATAGGTCCTGAGGTCTATCCATGGTGAATACTGGGTGAGTATTGGTGCAATGATGGCAGTGGGGAACATATGGGTAGGCAGGAGTTGATACTTCATTGTCAAATAATGTATAAAGAGTCAAGGGAAATGGGAAGGGGGGATAAATTGGCATGGAATGCATGAGGGCCAATTGGGTGTGTGGTTGGTTTAGTGGGGCAAGATTGGCATGGTGTGACAAGGTTGGCATAGTGTGATGGGTTAAGGGGAATGAAACCTGAAAAGATGTTTTATGGTTCAATTGTTTTCTTGTGGGAATTTTAACAGCGCCACTACATAGAGGCAGATTTTGCCCCCAAAACACTTAGGCCCTGGCAGCCTTTGCACTCCCTTCAAGGTGACACGACCTTCTGCCAGATAACGCTGGCATCCGGGAATGAAAACTCCAGCTTTTGAGACACTTAGTCCATGGGTTTTATGGAGCTAGGAAATGACCAAACCCTGTGGTCCCAACCAGAGAGCAAAAATTCAGCATGTCAATAGTGAGAGACTGTTACCCAGTCTCAGAGTAAGGAACTGACCTTTTGGGACTGCAATGAGGAGAAATCTCTTTCCTCGGAGGTCTGTAAAACTTTGGAATCCTGTACTCAGTTATTGAAGTTCAGTCATTGATCAAGATCACCTTTTGTCAATACTGATGAGGAAGGCTCCTTGACACATTTTAGTGCATCAACACTGTAAAAAGAATTATAGATATTTTTTCATCCAACACTAAACTCACTAATCCTCATTATCTTTTTCATGTGTTGGTAACTTTTTATGAGAATTATGAAATTTCTGTCTTTTTGTATTTGTAGCACTTGTCCTACGTTCGTAATTCTCTGGAGTTTATCTTTTCTATATCATTTTGTACCATTTGCACCCATGAACTTTCAAGGCTAACCAAACTTAATATTTCGGTTTTGATGCCTTGGCTTACTTAGCCTTTTGACTGTGGCCTCATCTTTCTGAACTGGCTGTCAGACCTAAATGTGTGTTTTGTATGTTAGTGACCATAGCAAGGTCAGATCACTGTGCAACCTCAGGAAAAACACTACTGGCTTGTTTGTACTGATTTAGCTATATTCTGTTTTGTCTGCTTATTGCTACTGACTTGATATGCCAGGATTACTTTTAACTTTGTATGATAGTATAAAGCAGGTGATGGTGAATCTATAACTCTCCATTGTTGTATGTGCTACAATGCCGACCAGTACAAACTGTGATTGGGATTGTTTGTTACCACCATGTTTTTTCCTTGACTTCTTCTAAGGGCCCAGTTTCTTTCCAGTGATGATGGAAAACCAATTCTGAGTCTTAACAAAAAGAGGCTATTGTTTTAAACAAGATATAATTTGTTGCATGTTAGTAATCAGGTACAAGTTGCACCAGGATATTGGATGTTGATACTAAGATTATTAGGAGACCAACAGTCTGTCCTCCATGAGATCCTAAACGGCTTGCCTCACCCCACCCAACTTCTTATGACACCATCAGATTAACTGGAGCCTAATGCAATGCCCAACATTAACACTTTCAGAACCGTAACCTTATACTGCATCTGCAATGACAATAAGGATCGGGAATAATGTAAAGCAAGGTGCCGACTTACTATCACTTTTATATATCTCATCAAGGTCTACATCTACCATGTTAATGGACAGCCTATATTTGTTTATTTCTTTCAATGTGACTTTAATTCTTCATGGCTGTTTTAGGGGGATTTCTGGAAATAGAAGTAGAAGGTGTTTGTGTATTAAATATTTTAATTAAATAGTTGAATACTTAATAAGTAATTTTTGCAATCTATCTATTTTAGGAAAGCTCAGGTACATTGTTTGGAGGGAAGAGACATCCCAACAAACAATCATCTCTAATACATGCTATTAAAAGAATTGCCCTCAATCTGATGTCACAAGTTCATGATGGTGAATTGGATGATGTGGCTCTAGATGGCCTCCTTTATTTCTGACACTGAAGATCAGCAGATACGTAGAGTGATAGTATTGTGTCGATAAGACACCAGAAAACTGAATGAGAATTGCTGGGGTCAGTTGACAGTCCTTTGTTTCACAGCCTATTCAAATGGCAGATCAACGGTTAACACAGTGCCGGTTTTACCATTCACTGCTGGCACAATTAGAGTCAGTGGGTAAAAGTCTTACCCTGATACCAGTGTTGCTACAACTTTTGAAAAATATAATATTCCCTGTCATTTATTGTTCATTTCCCAATATATACTGCTTTGATAATGTTTGCAATATGTTTAATTTTTCAATATTCTGTCTGTTTCTAATAATTATTCATCTATTTTTAGGTTCCTGGTAGCTACCCAGGTTTGGAATTTACTCTTCTTTTATTTCCTTTTCACATCCAGATTTTTCTGTGAATGTCTACTGTGACTTTATGCAACAACTTGGGTGACATGGTGGCACAGTGGTTAGCACTGCTGCCTCACAGCGCCAGGGACCCAGGTTCGATTCCAGCCTTGGGTGACTGTGTCTGTCTGTGTGGAGTTTGCACATTATCCCCGTGTCTGCGTGGATTTCTTCCAGTTACTCCAGTTTCCTCCCACAGTCCAAAGATGTGCAGGGTAGATAGATTGGTCATGCTAAATTGACCATAGTGCACAGGGATGTTTAGGTTAGGAGAGTCATACAGGGGTAGGGGAATGGGTCTGGGTGGGATGCTCTTCGGAGGGGCGGTGCAGACTTGTTGGGCAAAATGGCCTGTTTCCACACTGTAGGGATTCCATGAACTTCTGACCAAAAAGCTGCTGTTCCCAAAAGATAGATTTGGATATCATAAGGAACATCAGTCATCACGAAATTTAAGGATACATCTTGTGCTGCCTCTCAACTTCAAAGAAAAATTCATTCAACTCCTAAAGTGACCATGTACATCATACTGTAGTAAATATAAATTAACATATCATTTGTGTTAATATCTTGCATGTAGGAAGTAATTTTTTTCTATTCATTTGTCATTTGTGGGCATCACTGGCTGGACAGCATTTATTGCCTGTCCCAAGTTACCCTTGAGAGGTGGTGGTAAGCTGTCTTCTTGAACAGTTGCAGCCAACCTGGATATATTTCCAAGTCAGGATGGTGAGTGGCTTTGAGGGGAACTTGCAGGTGGTGGTGTTCCCATGTATTTGCTGTCCTTGTCCTTCTAAATGATAGTGGCCATGGGTTTAAAAGGTGCTGTCTGAGGATCTTTGGTGAATTTCTGCAGTGCACCTTATAGATGACCTGAGCATCAGTGGTGGTTGGAGTGGATGTAGTGCCAGTCAAGTGGGCTGCTTTGTCCTGGATGGTGTCAAGCTTCTTGAGTGTTGGAGCTGCACCCATCCAGACAGGTGGGGAGTATTCCATCACACTCCTGAATTGTACCTTGTAGATGATGGACAGGTTTTAGTGTGTTAGGAGGTGAGTTACTCACCTTTGACCTGCTCTTGTAGACACTGTGTTTATGTGGCAAGTCCAGTCGTGTTTTTGGTCAATGGTAACCCCTAGGACGTTGGTAGCAGGGGATTCAGTGATGGTAACACCATTGAATGTTAAGGGGCAGTCTCTTATTGGTGATGGTCATAGCCTGGCATTTGTGTGGCACAAATATTACTTGCCAATTGTCAGCCCAAGCCCAGATATTGTTGCATTTGAACATGGTCTGCATCAATATCTGAGGAGTCGTGAATGGTGCTGGACATTGTGCAGTTATCAGTGAACATCCGCACTTCTGACCTTATGATGGAGGTAAGGTCATTTATGAAGCCGCTGAAAATGGTTGGGCCTAGGTCACTAGCCTGAGGAACTCCTGCAGAGATGTCCTGGCGCTGAGATGACTGACTTCCAACAGGCACAACCACCTTCCTAAGCATCAGGTATGACTCCAACCACTGGAGAATTTACCCCGGATAACGATTGCAGTTTTTCTACTCGGTTGACTGTGGTCTTGATGTCAAAGGCTATCATTCTCAAGTCACCTCACCTCGAGGAGAGAGCTTTTTTGTCCATGTTTGAACCAAGGCTGTAATGAGGTCAGGAGCTGAGTGGACCTGGCGGAACCCAAACTGAACATCACCAAGCAGCTTATTGCTGAGCAGGTGCTGCTTGATAGTGCTGTTGATGACACTTCCATCACTTTACTGATGATGGAGAGTAGACTAATGTAATTGGCTGGGTTGGATTTGTCCTGGTTTTTGTGTACAGGATATAGCTGGGCAATTTTCCACATTGTCAAGTAACTGTACTGGAAGAGCTGGCAAGGAAATGGCAAGTTCTGGAGCACAGGTCGTCAGCACTATTGCCAGAATGTTGTCAAGGCCCATAGCCTTTGCAGTATGCAGTGTTTCCAACCTTTTCTTGATATCACGTGGAATGATTCCAGTTGGCTGAAGACTGGTATCTGTGATGCTGTGGACCACAGGAGGAGGCTGAAATGGATCATCCATTTGACATTTCAGGCTGAAGATTGCTATGAATGCCTCAGCCTTGTCTTTTGCACTGTTGTGCTGGGTTCTTCCATCATTGAAGGTGGTGATATTTGTGGAGCCTCCTTCTCCAGTGAGTTGTTTAATTGTTCACCACTGTTCACGACTGGATGTGGCAGGACTGCAGAGCTTAGGTCTGCTCTGTTGGTTGTAGCCTCGCTTGGGTCTGTCTTTCACTTCTTGCTTATGCTGTTTGGCATACAGGTAGTCCTATTAGATAGCTTCACCAGGTTCACACCTCATTTTCAGGTATGCCTGGCACTGCTCCTGGCATGCCCTCCTGCACTCTCCACTGGCTTGATATTAATGGTTGAGTAGGTGATATACCATGCCATGAGGTTGCAGATTGTGCTGGAGTACAATTCTACTGCTGTTGATGACCCACAGCACCTCATGGATGCCCTGCCTTGAGTTGCTAGCTCTGTTCAAAGACTGTCCCGTTTAGCACAGTGATAGTGCCACACAACACGATTGACTGCGGTGGTCCTGTTATCGATACTGTTACGCACTGATACGTTACAGTCAGCAGATT